TAGTGGATAGTCAAGAGGTAGAAAATATCTCTAAATATCTAATAGAATATCTAGTAAGTTTTGTTATAAATAGAGCCAATTTGTAAGAGAAATATGAAGGAAATATAGAAGAAAAATAGTTCAATTAATAAAGTTCAATATACGACATGAGTATGACATAGAAAAGAAAGAGTAAATTTGATTCTGTAGAATAAGATAGTAGAAACTTTAGGGTAAAATACAATTGACTTCCAAGGATATAGTTTTTGAATCTGTTAGGGCTATGGTGCGAAATCCAACCCAAGACATTAGGCTATGATGAAAAGGGCTTGGCCCATGTTCCTTTACTATTACCCAATAACATTAACTAATGAAGCCCACTAAAACCCAAGCCCAATATTAAGTCCAGATAAAAACGAGTTTGGTAAATGCGACTTTGGTTGTTTTACCTTATAACTAAAAGTGCAAGTTACTTTGGACCTTTGGATCAAATGATGCCTCAATCTCGATATATTCTTGTGTTATGGTTGAAACCCTAATTACTTTTGTCATTTTGGTATTCATCTTCTCGAGGGTTTTCTAAAGTCTTTCGTCTTCTCTTTTGATTTGAGTAACTCTTTTATTTATTTTACAGAGTGATTTTTCTTGGTGAAATTCGGTGAAATAGTGCATCTCTTTGATGGTAATGTTGGGTTCTTTTGGTCCATAGAAGAAGTTGCACATTTCCTGTGATTGTTAGGGTTCTTGGGCGATTCAAAGTTTTTTCTGTGTTGATACAAAAATGTATAATATCTCTGAGCCTTCGATCGAAGATATCTTGGTGTCCGGTGGTTTGGATTGTAAAGTGTTGTAAAGAACGTGTCGGTCTAACTTTTTGTACATCTATTTTGTATAATAATAGTATCAGAGCCTCTTAAGGCCGTTCTTGGGGCTTCAGTCGAAGTTTGAACCTTGGAAAATTAATTTTCAGTGTTCTTTTTTTATCGCTTTGAAATTTAGGAACCCTAAATCTAGATTTGTTTCGATTTGCGGCTTATACTATCAGATCTGTACTTTGGTTGTGTTAATCGATAAAGTATTTGTGACTCTTGGGTTCGATCTGAACAAGGAACCCTAAACTTGATTTTTTTTAGGTCTGGTCTACGTGTTGGTAACCTTGTGGAACACCATCCCTGCTGTAACGACTGGTACTTTCTATTGCACTTATATATGGTCCTTTGGTGGTCAATTTTTTTACCACCCTCTGGTTTTGCGATTCTTAATCCCTATACTCTACTCCTATATTTGCATATCCTTGTCTATGTCTCTATTTGATATTGCTCTTTAATTGCTAGTAATAGTAAAATACTTTATTGTAACCTGTTATACTAGTTCATGTAATCACCTTAATATTTTCAAATTGAGCCTAGACCTGGGAACTTGATTCTCATGAAATCCTGACGAATTTGATCATTTTAGGTGACTTTGAAGAGAGTCTAATTTGTTCTTGAAATATTGTTTGAGCCTGATTCTTGTCTAATTTTATTTATTTATTATTATTTTATTTTTTTTTTGGTTTTGTGGTGTTTGCTATCTAACATCATTTATTGTGTTATCTTTGGAACATTTTGTAATTGAAAATAACTGAGATATTTTTTTTATTGCTGCTTATTTTGTGTGATCTAAAATCTCTCTTTTTTTTTCTTTGTTTTTATTTTTTGTGAAGTTCAAAATATCCATGTTTTTTCCAAAAGTTGATCAGCTGTTTAGGTTTAATTATTTGAAATAGTTTGTGTTATTTCTGAATAATAAAACATGACAAATACTACTTTTTAACTTAGTGTTTTTTTTTTTAAATGGAAAATGGGACTTACCCATTTGGAAACAAAAAAAGAGGTGTATTAGTTCAACAAAAGGTTTTCAAAGAAATAGTATAAGAATTTCCTAAAACTTTGACATCTGATTAGAATAATGAAGCTGATGAACTTTCTTATACCTCCATGATTTTGTATTTATCTAATCAAGTTTTGAGAAAAGTAGGAAAATAAGATTCTGCTAAGGCTCTATGGAATGAATTAGAGAAGCTCTATCTAGTTAAGTCTTTGCCTAATGAGTTGTTTGTGTTGGAGAGATTTTTTTAGCTTTAGGATAGACTTCTCTAACGATTTTGATGATATTTTGACATCTTTAATAAGCTAGTTTAATGTATCACCAGCTTAGCAACTGGAGAAAATGTTTCGATGAGATCTAGACCCTCTTGCTGAATATAACCCTTAGCTACTAAACGAGCTTTGTACCTTTCTATGCTCCCATCATACTTATGTTTGACTTTATAAACCCATTTGCAACTAATAGAATGCTTGTCCTTAGGCATCTTTGTCACTGACCAGGTTTTGTTCTGTTTCATATCTGCTAGTTCATATGCTATACCCTTTTTCCAATAATCAAACTGGACAACTTGATGGTAGAATTGTGGTTCAAGGTTAGATGATACATTAAAAAGAAAGCATACATGTGAAGGAGGGAGTTTAGTATATGATACGTACTTGCTTAATGGATATGTTGAATTGTTGTCTAGGAGAGGTGTGTTTGACATGAGATTACGATGAAATTCACAAATGTAGGAAGATGGTTTGATGGTTCTATTTGATTTTCTGGGAATAAATGAAGAAATGTGATCATAATTTTGTTCTCTTGAAGGAATAACAAGTAAGTCATTGATGATTGAATGAATATTAGATGTTGAGATTGTAGGTGAGTGAGAGATAGGCAATCAGGAGCAATGTGAGGCAGAACTAGGTTAGGAAATGGATCAATGAGTTCAGCTGTATGAGTTATAGAGTGGAATGGGAAATGGTTTTCATGGAATATAACATCTCTAGAAACAAAAAAATGACTTAGACGAAATGTCATACAATTTGTATCCTTTGATTCCTAGAGGATAGCCAACAAACACATACGCTATGGTCAAGAAAATGGCAGTTAATACACACTCTCCCCAAAATTGGATTGCCACTCTTGACTGGAAAAATAAGGCTCTTGCCACATTAAGAAGATGCTGATGTTTTCTTTCAATCACAAAATTTTTGTTCAGGTCTTTTTACACATGAAAACTGATGAATGACCCCCTTGGCATTGAAATAGTCAGTAAACTATAGTTCGGCATTATCTGATCTAAGCCTTTTGATGGTTTTGTGAAATTGAGTTTCTATTAGAGAAAAGAACTTGGGGATAATGAAACTCACATTAGATTTATGTTTCATCGGATATATCCAGGTAAACTGTGTGCAATCATCCACTAATGTAAGAAAGTTTCTCTGGCCAGCATGTGTTAGGACGTGATATGGCCCCCAAGTATTTCAGTGAATCAAGTCAAAAGCATCAGCAGACATATGGTTATTTGAAACAAATGATAGTCTCATTTGTTTGGTCAAAGGACAAATATTACAAGGAGTTACA